GCAATATTTATCATAATTATGTCGAATCGATATATAGTCGAATGTTCTCAGATTATACTAGAAATCAATTTGCATATTCTCTTTCGCAACTTCATAAGCTAATTTTTCTTTTTTCTCTTTTTTTCTTTTTTTCTTTCTTATTTTTTTTTTTTCCTTCCGTTTTGTCAAATTGTTAAACTACAAGCCGACCCGACAAAGTTTCTTTACGGCGTTAATAGAAAAATTGAATTAGCTTAAAAAAGAAAAGAAAAGAAAAAGAAAAAAAAAAAAAGAGTAAACGCGAAAAGGAATTATGTATCGATTCAGAAAATAATCTCTTAGGAATGTTTGACTCGATCTAGAAACATTTGATCCGTCAATTTTATTATCGTGAAATATTTCCTTTTGTGGCACGGTATACGGGAAGAAAACAAGAAAAACGAGAGGGGGGAAAAAAAGGAAAAAAAGAAAAAGAAAAAACAAGCCAAGAAAAACGAAATGATTGAAAAAGAAGTCAGTTGTAAAAGAGAAAGATCATTCTAAAGAAAAGACGTTTCTTCAGAATTTCACCATCACTCGCTATGGTTACCACAATTCTCTTTCTTTCTCTCTCTCTCCCTCTCTCTCTCCCTCTCTCCCTCCCTCTCCCTCTTTATCCCATCGAGTTCGCTCTCGATTTTGTTCTGACCGTAGCCTGGATACGAATCCACGTTTCGATCCACTTTAACGAGCGGGAAGTAATCGATTGCGAGCCTCGCGGCTCTCTTACCTTTCTGCCTCTCACAGAAACGAGAAAGACTTGCGACCTTGCTCGAACATCCGAACGATCGTCGTTCACTTCTAACGATCTCAAACCGATTCGACGAAAGTAAAATTCTTCGAAAGGAGCACACTCGTCTTATTAAATAGTTTCTCTCGAAGCTACAAACCAAGGTGAATCGTAGGGGAGGTGGAAGGATAGATGGTTGAAAGAGGAGGAATTTAAAAATAATATACAAAAAGATTGATCAAAATTATTATTATTATTATTATTATTATTATTATTATTATTATTATTATTATTATTATTATTATTACTTTAATTTTTATTTAATTAAATTAACACGATTGATTAATTATTAATTATTGACATTTTGTATTATCTATTTAACTTTAAAATTATAGATTTAACTTATCTATAATTGAAAATAATATAAATAATTAATAATAATATAGTAAAACTAGTGATATGAAAATAGTACAAAAATAATATATATAACTAATATAAGTATATAATTATACTGGTACAAATTATATACTTGTAACATAAAAAATATACGACCGTAGTATAGATTATAATTATTTAATATTATACTACTATAATTTTCACATTATATTTTTTATCAACACGATACAAAAATTATCATTATGATTATCATTATCATCATCATTATTACTATTATTATTATTATTATTATTATTATTATTATTATTATTATTATTATTATTATTATTATTATTATTATTATTATTATTATTATTATTATTATTATTATTATTATTATTATTATTATTATTATTATTATTATTATTATTATTATTATTATTATTATTATTATTATTATTATTATTATTATTATTATTATTATTATTATTATTATTATTATTATTATTATTATTATTATTATTATTATTATTATTATTAATATTATTATTATTCCCAATAAGTATATAAAACGACAAAATCAAAATATATTTTCGATTCTCAATAAATTTCGATCTATCCAGAGCCCATAGATCGTTCTTCTTTACTATTTCTGCCGAGGACAAGAAGCATGCGTTTTCTTGAGGTGTTAATAAACATACGATCTCGGGTCAATGGCGCATAGAAATGGCGTCACATCGTAAAAGCATCGATATTCTTGGAGGATCTTTCGGAGGTCAGTTACCACTGACGGTTTATGCGTACATACACATTCCTAAAGTCGGTATATGCGTAGATACAATATATATTATATATACGTGCATACATACATACATACATGCATACATACATACATATGTACATACATACGTATATATGTATATACCGATGCGTTGTGATTAGGCCATTAACGACGCTGTAAAATCCATTTGCAAACGTTCGCATCCTCTTCCGGAACTTTGTTATACAGTGGCCGCATGTCTGCGCGTATGCAAACGAGACATAAACATACGGTTCTTCGGCCTCGAGTTTCTCATGGGATCCCTTTTTAGCTTGCATTCTTCGAGATTCGATCGCATTCTCTTCTTTTAATACACGTATTTAGAAAATTCTTTATAACCTTTTAACAATATTCGATACCGTGGATACGATGTTCGTATGAATTATTTATTTTACCGAGTGTTTTAATTGAAAATAAATTTTTTAACGTGTCGATTAAATCCATTATGTATGTTTTTATTTATTTATTTTTGTATTTATTCATTTTCTTTTTTTTTTTTTTATTGAATATTTTTAATTCAATATTTTACATCTAAATAAGTAACTTAATATATAATACATTTTCTATCCTCGTATGTCTGATAATATAATGTAATAAGTATGTAATAGCATTGAGGAATTGATCAGTAATATATGTCAACATTTTCGATAAAATTAACAAATACTATTTATTGCAATTATTACAATATCTAAAAATATAATTTAAAAATATCTTATAAAAATTTATTATTAATTATATCTTTGAATATTATATTATATAATATATATGTAATAATAATCAATACAAATATATTTTTCATTGATAATATCGATAATTTCCATAGATAAATATATTGGCTTAAATAACGACATACAAATTATGTATAATTATTTTTAAGTAGAAAGTTGTAAACTATTTAACACGATTCGATAGAAAGGATTTTGAGGTCTCGTCTCGTCGGATCGATCTGTCGACCGGTTTCGCGTCGTAGGAAACGAAGGCGAACGTAATGGCGAAAGTGACGAATCTTATTTCGCGGTCACCCGCTGTGTGTGTGTGCTGTGCTTGCAGGTAAATCGGCTCTCGTGCGTTCTAGTATCTCTCTCTCTCTCTCTCTCTCTCTCTCTCTCTCTCTCTCTCTCTCTCTCTCTCTCTCTCTCTCTCTCTCTCTCTCTCTCTCTCTCTCTCTCTCTCTCTCTCTCTATCTCTCTATCTCTCTATCTCTATCTCTCTCACTCACTCACTCACTCACTCACTCACTCACTCACTCACTCTTATTACTCGTACTTCTCGTACTCGTCGTCAGTGTCAGTGAAAACCGCATTGGCGAGATAGTAGTCAGTGCGATGGAACGTAAGGGAAATGAGGAAAGTCGGGCACGGACGAAAGTGAGAGGACTCACGTCTACAAGGTGTCTCGTGAACTTTCTTACTTACGTGGATGATCCTTTCACAAGCTTACCGATCGCATTAGTGAAAGATCGTTCTTTGACCGCAGAACTTCTATCAATTTTTACGATCGGATCATTCTCGTTCGTAAAGAAGAAAATAAAAAAAATATATATATATATATATTTCTTTTTTATTTGTACATTATACTTAGACCATAAACTCGAACAAGGGGAAGATATATTGTCGAAATTGTATTCGATTGACCAATAATTTACGTTGGATTGTTTAATATTTAATATTATAAATTAATGATTACTACAACATTGTTATAACTTATTATAGAATGCTACAATAATAATATATTGATTTTGGCAATAAGTAATATCGCAATTTCCTCTTAATATTTAATATTTATTCAGAGGAAATTGCGATATTACTTATTACCAAAAGATATTAATTTTTTTCATTGCCATTAGATATTAATTTCGTCTTAAAATCTAATATTAATGCTAATAGTATGATTAATATGAATATTATGTTTTTCTCTTTCTTTTCTTTTTCTTTTTTTTTTTTTTTTTTCTTGTAATAGTATCGTTTATGTAGATATCGTTGTTTTTGCGGTTTTATTCGAATATAAAGTACTGAATATTTTAATATATAATCGCTCGTAAATATTCATATATAGGCCACAAGAAAACATGAAATGTGAAATAAAAATCAGTTTCATTAAAATCAATTGTAAATGAAGAATAAAATCAATTATTACTCGACAAACTCTTCAAAGCTTTCAATGATTATAATATTTAACTATATATAATAGTATATATATATATATATATATATATATATATATATATAATATAAAGCATATTGAAAGCATATTGATTAGTTTGAAAATAAACGAGCAAGTTAGTATCTACAAATAGAACATTAAATTATCTAAACAATTGTAATAAAGGTTCATGAATAATCATGGCGGACGTTATATGCAATTTTCTAAGCTGTCGTGACTCGTAGGTTAATACGCGTTCTTCTTTGTTCGCAAAATCTCGATAATCACGAGTCATGCGCTCTATTCGATCAGGATCGAGGTAGATCCAATCGATTCTCTCGAGAATTCCATAGAGCGATCGAGAAAGAGAGAGAGAGAGAGGGAGCTTGAATTCGTTAAAGCAAAAAGTTTCCTTTTTTACTAACATTGAGAAGAAAATATTCTAGTCCGATTAAATGAAAAATTATATTGGTAGTAAAAATATCAACAAACGAAAATAAATATTCGTTAAAAAAGAAAAGAACAAGGAAAAGGAAAACGTTGTTACAAATATTATCTCTAAAAATATAATGATATATGTATATGATAACGGTAATAATATAATACGGTTGATTTCATTCATTGCATTCACAAATTAAAACGTTCGTGCGTCAGTTCTCTATGAGAATGGTATTATTATTATTTTTACTATTGTTATTATTATTATTATTATTATTTTTATTATTATTAATAGGAGTAACAGTAATAATAATAGTATTAGTAATAATAGTAGTTTTATTTTTTTCTTCACGAATACATTAAGATTCTTTATCGAGATAAATAAGTATTAAAAAGAATAAGAAAGAGAGAGGGAAAGAAACAAGAAATCATAAAGAACAGAACCCGAAATAATATATTACAATTATTTTTACGTAGATCAACTCGATCGAGAAGGTGTCCTAGCAAGAGCAAGAGAAACGATTACTGCGAGAGAGAGGAAAAGGAAGGACGAAGGGGAAAAAGAAGAAGAAAAAGAAGAAAAAGGAAGAAGAAGAAGAAGAAGAACCGAGGACAATGGCGGGTGAGGACACACAGATTCTGGCGAATGGCACCGTCGAGGCTCTCACGATAATACCAGCAAAGATGGCCAATGGGAACGGCCTTATCTGTAGCAAGCATAATAACAATGGCTCAATACCAAATGGGAAGCTACATGAGATCGGAGCTGCCGAGAATGGGAAGCTGATCGTTCCTGACGAAAAATCGAGCAGCCTTCACACGGAATTCGATGACGCTGACGTTTCCTGTGGTTGGGGTCCATTAAGACCTCATTGGTTGCAATATTTTGCCACGAAGCAGGCCTTTTTAGTCACCTTTTGCATTACCTGGGTTAGTGTCAATATTTATAGATTCCTCTAATTTCTTATCTCTCGTTGATGATAATAATACACACATATATATATATATATATATATATTTGTAATTTCACAATTACGCTGTCAAACTTGTCAAATATTAAACTAATATTAATATTAATATTAATGTTAATTGTTTTAATATTAATCCAGTAAATTTCAATAATTTGAATTCTCATTTTTGATTTGAAAAACTTACGAAAATAAATGAAATACTTCCTCTCTGTCGTACCATTTAAAGGGTTTAATTTAAAAATCGTAAAAAGTGACGACAGATCAGACTCCCAATTTTAATACATTCGAGCGTACATTAATTAATTTTATGTTTTTTCGGCCATAGGTCCTTCAAGGCATGTACTATACGTATTTCGTCTCGGTAATCACAACGATCGAGAAGCTCTTCCAAATCCAATCGAAAACGACGGGTATCATAATGTCTGCAACTGAAATCGGCCAGATCGGTTCGTCCCTTCTCTTAACGTATTACGGCGGCCAAGGTCACCGGCCTAAGTGGATCGCCTGGGGCATGATCCTCTTTGCCGTGAGCTCCTTCACCTGCTCGATGCCTCATTTCATCTTCGGCGAACAGCTGATCCAGCAAAACGAGATGCTTTTCAGCGGCGTCGGACCTGCCGGGGAATCAGATGGACCTAACAATACTGATCCAGTTCCAGCAAATCTCTGCAAGTTGCATGAACGACCAGAGAACAATACGCTCGATGAGTACGTATAATTTTGTGCAATCGTTATATAACACTTTATTACTCGTTACTGTTCGTTACTGTTCGCCTAATTGGAAATAATATATTTCGTCATTATTTTGATTCAATCTATCTAGTTGTATAATGATTGTTATATACTATTGTAGAACGGACATTAAAACATTCGTTAAATATCATTTTTTTTTGTTCTCTTTATTATTCTTTATTTTTCCCACATCATAGATGGATCTTGGGTACAACGGCACCACACGGTGATTCGATCGAATATTGCGAAGGTGACTTTCTAACAGAGCAGAGGATACAAAGCAAAATAACGGCAGTAGTCCTGGCAATATTTTTTGTCTCTTTGCTCGGTGTTGGAATGGGTCAAACTGCCGTTTACACTCTTGGCATACCATATATCGATGATAACGTTGCCAGCAGGGAAAGTCCCTTGTATTTCGGTAAGAGATTTAAAAAAAAATGATCTATTTTTATAACACATTGTATAATGTGTGCGTGTGTGTATGTGTTTTATCTTATAAAATTAACTTGAGGTATATTTGTCTATTTTTTTTTTTTTAACTATTTCACATTTTGATCTTTTTCTATCGATAGCAATCACAATCGGTGTTAGGATTCTGGGACCAGCGTTAGGTTTCATCCTTGGATCACTTTGCACGATGCTTTATGCGGATCTATCTGTAAATCCACAAATCACGCCTACTGATCCAAGATGGGTCGGTGCGTGGTGGCTTGGTAAGTCCAAAAAAAAAAAAAAATATATATATATATATAACATGATTACAATAAAACTAATCCAACCTAATCATATTCCAAGTAATAATTTTACAATAAGTCATTCATAAAAATAATAAATTCATCTAGAAAATAAGAAAGACGGATTTTCTTTCGAAAAAAGGACAAAACAAAACTGAAGTAACCGACGATATTAAAAATTCGACGACTTTTAAATTTCACGAAATATTCTATCCACAAATGTGCAACATACATACAGTTCATATATATATGTATGTATGTATATATGTATGTATGTATATATACTCGTTTGTCACTGACTTTCCTTGGTATTATTAGTATTTCAATCGTTTTATTGTGCCGCAGATCTTTGAGAGCGTCGACGTAAAAATAATTCAAAGAATTTTGGTACAGGGCGTGGTAATAAACGTTTTAATGAATATAAGACAAAACGAAGTCTAATTATGATACCAAATTATCTTGAATATTTTTACTTATTTATTAGCTTAATAAAACGAAAGAGAAGGACAAAAATTGGATCGTACAAAATTGCAACGTCATATTAAGAAAACGTTAATATATATTTATATATCTTTTTTTATTTTTATTTCTTTTCTTTTTTTTTTCTTTTTCTTTTTCTCTTTTTTTTTTTTTTTTTTTTTTTGTCATTTTCATAATACACATACGACGTAGAAGATTTAATTGACCAATCGAACAACGAGTAGATTAAAAAATTAAAAATAGTATTTATTTTTGGTTCTTCTTCCTCTTTTTTCTTTCTTTTACTTTTTTTTTTTTTTTTGAACGACAAACGCTTGTAAAATACATCGAACGTGAATATAATCGTGACGTAAAGCATTCCTATTTTATTTTGAAGGTCTGGTGCTGATATCCGCGATGCTGATGTTGGTCAGCATAGGAATGTTCGCCTTTCCTACGCGTTTGCCGACGAGCAGAACACCGCCGAAACGAGCGGATGCCAAAAAACCTAGTCTAAGAGGTAAGTTCTGATTAATCTTGAGAGGAGAAAGAGAGGTGAGATGAGATGGGCTGGGATCGGATCGGATCGGATGGGATGGAATGGGATGGAAGAGAGAGAGAGATGGAGAGAAAAAGAAAGAGAAAGAGAGTCGGCGATCGTCCGTAAAATCGACGAGGCGTACGTTTCGCCATCCAAAAGAATGAGAAAGAGAGAGAGAGAGAGAGACTTGTTCGACCATCTTAATCCTTTAGTTGGCCATTAAATTTTTCTTACCTCTTAAAGGTCGGCGTACCGATAAAAAACTTGGAAGGATATAAAAATGTCGCCTCTCTCTCTCTTTCTTCCTCTCTTTCTCTTTCTCTTTCTCTTTCTCTCTCAAGTCCGTGGAAATGGGAAGATTTTAATCGGTCTTCTTTTTTTATACCTCTCCGATTTCACAAAAACCTTTAGCCAAAGTTCTTCCGTGGTAATTTAACGTGGACGTCATTTTTTGATCTAAAACTTAGCGCGAAAACAAGGGACTAATATTTATCTATATTAAAATATATAAAAATTATTTAAATAGATGTTGTGTATGTTTTGGTGATATTAACATTGAAAATAACGTCGATGCGCTCGTCGAATTTTTCATCATTATTATTATTATTATTATGAATATTATTTTTAAAATAAAGAAAAAAAAAGAAATAAAAGGATATTATTTCTTGTAGTTTATTTTTTATTATTAAAAAAGTCACGTGCTTCGATGAAGAAAAGGAAAGAAGAAGAATAAAAGGAAAAGGAGAACGTCGACGACGACGACGACAACGACGACGACAACGACGACGACGAAAATCCTCTCGGTAAAATTTCGCGTCAGGCTCAGCCCATTTCGGCAGCCGGACCTCGAAGGCTAACGAGAATGCAAATAAAAAGCGGAGACAATGTGGTGCTCTTCGCAAGTTAATCGGCGCTTCCAGCGCGCTGAGTTTCGCCCACGGCCGAGATAATGAGTCCTCGCATAAGAATATTTATATCGCGGCACGACCGACCAGCCGGCCGCCCGGTGCCGCTCTCTTTGCAAAAGGAGCAAAGGTTAAAATATCGCGACGCAAGAAAAAAGACGGCTTCTTCTTCTTCTTCTTTTTCTTCTTCCTCTTCTTCCATTTCTTCTTCGTCCTCTTCTTCTTCTTCTTCTTCTTCTTTTTCTTCGTCTTTTAATTTTTTTGCTTCTTCTTATTCTTCATCTTTTTCTTTCTCTTCCTCAAGTACGAATAAAAGCCTCGAGTATTACCCGCTACTACTACGAAAATATTGAAGTATTTCGAGAATTCGAACGAGAATGTTGATCATCTTGTAACACGGCTTTTTTTCAAATCAATTTTAATATTTCAAACATCTACTCTGTTTCGTTTGACGAATTTCTTTTTTCTTTTCTCTTTTATATTTTTATTTTTTTTCTTTTTTTTTTCTTTTTGTTTTTGTTTTTTGAAATCCTTTATCTTTGTTCTGTTTGATACATCGAAATCTTCCTTCGTTCTTTGCCTTTTTTTTCTTTTCCTTTTTCCTTTTTTTTCTTTTTTTTTTTTTTTGGTAATAGATGATAAAATAATGAGAATTTATTTATGAGAGATATCTCATGTGATAAGAATAAATTTATTATCGATTTAAAAAATAAAACAGAGATAACGGACTAGTCCGCTTTGCCTCGATTCAGTGCGTATTTAATTCTTTTTATATGTCGAACTTTATTTCACGTAAAATTACATTTATATCGAGCTTTCTTTCTTTCAAATTAATTTGAAATATAACATTTCAAATATATATATATATATATATATATTCTAAGTTATTATTAAAATTAAAAAACAAAAAGATTTTCCAAAATATTATATCTTTAATAATTAAAAATTATATTCGAACGAAGTCGAAAGAAAACAAATTTTCTTCTTTTCTATTTTCTTTTTTTTTCTTCTTTTTTTTTTTTTTTTTTTTTTTTGAATTATTACACAAACTTTCGAATTTTTCTTTTTAAATAGAAAATAGAAAAAAGAAGCGAAAAATGTTATCTCTCGAAAGAAGCTTTCGGTATGACCACTAATAACTCAACGATGGAATGCACGAATATTCGCGATTCACGTCAAAAGACACGAAAAAGAGAACGAGAGAGGCAGAAAGACAGAGATAAATAGATAGAGAGAGATAGAGAGAGAGAGAGAGAGAGAGAGAGAGAGAGAGAGACAGACAGACAGACAGACAGAAAGAGAAAGAGAGAAAGAGAGAGAGAAAGAAGGAAAGAAAAAAAGAAAGAAGATGAAAGAGCATAGGCGTGTTCGATCGAGCGAACGAAACGAAAAGGTGCCCGGACGTCGTAGGTACATACATAACGTCGTGGGGCAGGAAGGACGCAAGGAAAGAATGCCGTCGGCTTGTCCCTCGCGCGATCCTCGAAGCTGAAGCTCCTTCTCACTCGCGCGAGCAAGCATGCGCGCGGGTGCACACGCGTGATCGCGCACTCGAGCGTGCGTGCGTGCATTAACGCTAATGACCGACCGAGCGACTCGTGCACTCGTGCACAAGGTGGGGCAAGTTCACGGTCACGCGTCGTGCGTCGAGTGCGCACACAAATACATAGATTCCCATATATCTAAATGTATAAGAATCATATTCTACCACGCGCCCAGTCTCTTACCTTCTTCAATCCTCCCCTCGTCAACCTATTCACCCTATTAAATTTTCATAGGGATCGTTTATTCATTCGATGAGATAAAATCGAAAACAAATCGTTCAAAAGATACATTCATTTGTATTTATTTGAAATTGATTACGTTGAATCACAAATTTTATTGATTTTCTTTTTTTCTTTTTTTTTTTTTTGGACGACCTTTAATAGGTCAATCTTGAAATATGTATATGTATGTATATATATGTATATATTAATATATTATTATTATTATTAAACGAATTAATAAACGTATCCCATAGGAAATATATCTTCTCGTGGGATATTTTTATTCTATAAAATATTAGATCAACGTTTTTATATTAGGATTCTTATTTTTCATAATTCATATTAAATTTCAATTCCTCCGATATTAGGATGTATATATAGATTTTTCGAATGTAATAAAGTGATCCGATATATCACGTTCTAAGGAAAATGGATCTTCTTTGAAGATGATTTATAAATTTGCATGTTTACGCGTATCATTTCTAATTTTTCAAATATCACATCATATTTCATTCGTCCTGAATAATTCTAGAATTAGATATCTCAATTTGTAAAATATAATAGAATGATACAACATATTGTATTTTAAGAAATAAGATCTTGTTAAAAATAATTTATAAACCCTACGAACTAACACTGTAAAGATATTGGTTTTTTTTTTTTTCAAAAATATCGTCAAATTTCGTTGTACTTTGAATCATCGCGAGTTTAAATTAGATATTTCAGTTTTTGAATGTAATAAAGTACCATGATACATTATATTCCAGGAAATGAATCTTGTTGTAGATAATTTGCAAACTTTCAACCCTAACACGTACCAATTCTGACTACATCAAATTTAGTCCCTCCAGGATTATACTGAACTAGATTCTAATTTAACTTTTGGTTATGTTAATATATCAAAACATTGTATGTTCGAAACATTAGATCCCATAGAAAACAGTTAATAAAATTTCCAAATGAATTTATCACGATAATTAACGTTATTGTCTTTTAACGATCGTTAAAGAAAAAAAGATTAGGTGGTGAATAGGCCGTAACGTAAAACTTAACGAATCGTTTAACGATCACCCTATATATATACTACACCTATAGCAGGGTTGTCGCGGTAATACGTGGAGCTCGATGTTGGTCACGTTTGTCTACTTAGGGTCTATGTACGGGACGTTTCTATGCGGGGTTGCCACGACTCTATGCTTGCCTTTTCTGGAAGGCTAGAAGAAGCCTCTTAGCCGCGTCGTTTCCTACGTACTACGCGTCTACATACATATATCCTTTCAATGTTTCTATAATAAATTTCTTTTAAAATTAATTTCTTTTAATCTTTCCAAATGAATCTCTGTAATAATTTTCAAGTTATTAAAAGAATCCAATCATTAAATCATAATAACCTATGTCCTTGTACTATTTTATCAATAAGAAGATTTAATAGAAAATTATTATTATTATTATTGTTATTATTATTATTATTTTATTTTATTTTATTTTATTTTATTTTATTTTTTTTTTCTCTTAACAACTACATTTAATTACAGATTTTCCAAAAGCAGTTAAAAGGCTGCTAAAGAATGACATCCTGATGTTCAGGACAGCTAGCAGCGTGCTGCACATCCTGCCAATTGCAGGACTTTACACATTCTTACCAAAGTACCTCGAGAGCCAATTTCGCTTGCCAGCTCATCATGCTAACATGATATCAGGTATTGATCAATATCTACTATAATATCTAATAACGATCATTCATGAAATTCTCACATTGTAATCATTTTTCTTTTCCTTTTACTGTCTCTTTTTTTCTTTTTGTTTTTTTTTTTCTTCTTTTTTTACAGGTGTCGGTGGTATTCTAGTTATGGGTCTGGGTATTATTATCAGCGGAGTGTTCATTCTAAGAGCGAAACCAAACGCTAGGTTCGTTGCAGCTTGGATAGCTTTCACAGCAGTCGTTTATGCTATCGGTATGGGCGTATTGATGTTCATTGGTTGTCCGATGGACGATTTTGCTGGTCTTGTCTCGCACTCCGATGGGTAAGAAATGAAATAATAGTAATCATCATCATCATCATCATCATCGTCATCGTAATGATCATCATCATCATCATCATCATCATGATAATCATCATGATAATCATCATCACCATCATCATCATCATCGTCATCATCGTTATGATCATCATCGTTCATCATCGTCTTTGATGAAATTTATTTGAATCATTATTTAGATATAATTTTCATTCATGTATCATCACTATTTTCTCAGAATATCGAGCTTCGAGCCAACCTGCGAGGCTAGCTGCGACTGCGATCGGAACAAGTTCAGCCCGATCTGTGGCGCGGATGGCAAAACGTACTTCTCCGCGTGTCATGCTGGCTGCTCGAATTACACGATAGCGGACGGGAAAGTGGCATCGGTATGTAAAGATATCTCTCAGAGATATGTATACATATGTGTGTACTTACATTTATATATATATATATTACATATATTACATATATATTTATATATATATATATATATATATATATATATATATATATATATTATAAATACACATTGATTCGGTGGAGGGAGTTAGGGTGGATTGGTAGATATGGTGGATGAGGTAGATGGTGTGGGGGGAGCGGTTGGAGAGGGTTTTACATTAAATTGTTTCCAAAAGCAAAAACTTACGATAAAAAGAAAAATAAAAGATATAAAAAGAAAAAAGTTTATATATCGTTATAAGATGTTAACGTAATCATCCCGGCCACTTATTTTTCTTGTCTTATTTCATTTTATTTTCTTTCATTTAATTTCATTTCATTTTTTCCCTTTCCCCGTTCTTCTTCTTTCATTCCAGTTTTATAACTGCCAGTGCATCGGGCAGAACTTAACGATGCCGGAAACGACGAGCACAGCGACGATTGGTTACTGCCAATTGGAATGCAGTAATTTTTGGGTCTACATGATTCTCTTCTCGGTGTTCGTTTTTATTCACTCAACGAGCGAGGTTGGTTCCATGTTACTGATATTACGATGCGTGGATCCACGGGACAAGGCCATGGCCCTCGGTCTCATACAATTTGCTATTGGCTTGTTTGGTAATTATATTTTATTTTCTTATACATTCTAATCATTCTTCCCTTCCTTCTTTCATTCCTTACTTCCTTCCTTCCTTCCTTCCTTTATTTTCTTTCTTTTCCTTCCTACTCGCTTCTCAAGTAAAAGTACTATTACTCGCATGATTTCGCAATTACGCGCTTCACGTTTTATGGACACTGGGAACAACTTACTACGCTACTTTCTACACGTCTGGCCTCGCGACGTTAACCGTTATTACGCAAATCCAAAGACGTATAACAAATTTATTTTTTTTTTTCTTTTATTCCCACGTGCTAACGATACCTCCGAAAGATTTATCGTTATTCTCTTAATGAATCTTTTAGTCGATCGATTCGATAAATCATTAATTATCTGTTACATTGCTAGCTAAAGAGCATTCGTACATTTTTGAAAATTGAATAATTCGTCCGTTCGAAATAAACGGTGTATCGATCTTCATTGAAAAATATTAATTTTTTTTGTTTTATTTTGTTGTATAAGAAACTAATATACATTCGATTACATGGATAAATCATTAATTATCCGTTACATTGATAACTAAAAGTGTACGTAGATTCTTGAAAATTGAATAATTTTTAATCTGTTAGAATGAACAGACTATTTCCATTAAATGTATTGAGTTGGTCAATAAATAATGTCGAAATTTTTAATAATTTGTATTTAAATAAATAACGCTAGTATTTTTTTATTAAAAATTTTTGATATCTTATATCTATATAAATAACGCTATATTAGTATATATTGAAAAAACGTTTGTGTGATATTTTACATCAAAATAAATAACACTACTTTTATTGGGTATTTTGTATTGTGAAATTTTTTTTGTGTGATATTTTATATACAAATAAATAACAATAGTAAATTTTTATTCAAAATTCTGACACATTAATTATTGCTCGATTCAATATTAATTTTTTATGAAATTATTGTTCATTCACATTGACAAATCATCGATTTAAATCTATTACATTGATATATATACTAAAAAGTACTTGATATTAGTATTGATATATATACTAAATATAAGTATTGATATATATACTAAAAGTATTCATACGTTCTTTTGATCCGTTAGAATGCACGAAGTACTTTAATTAAATAATATTAATTTTTTGTAAAATTATACATACATATATATATACATATTTATATATATATATATATGTGTATTATTCATGTAATTCACAGGTAACGTACCATGTCCAATCGTATACGGTGCTGTTGTGGATTCAGCGTGTCTTGTGTGGGAATACGCTTGTGGTGAACGAGGTGCCTGTTGGCTCTACGACTCAAATGTCTTCAGGATGTTTTATCACGGTACGCGAAAGATCTTTAACATTAAGATCATTATAACTCGTTAAATAGTTCTTATTATTTCATTTTCAATCGGGAACGTTATCAAAGAAAATAAAAGTAAAGAAAAATGAAAAAGAAATGTTTCAAATATATCCGATACATGTACAACTAACTTTGTATAGATAATATACATACATGCATAAATACACACAAGTTAACAAACAAGTTATACATTCTCGAATAACTCGTAGATTTTCATTTGCAACAGGCACGACGGGTGGAATCCTTGTGATGGCCTTCATCGTGGACATAGTTGTGTGGTACAAAGCCGGTAGTATAAGTTTCGTTGAGGAACAGGAATGTGAAGATGGTACAGCCGAAGAAATGGCCACTTTAAAGTCTCAGGACGCGCAAAACGTCGATAATGATTATCTGTGAAGGATATACATACATACATATATATATATGTATATATATATATATATATACATATATATATATACATATATATATACACAAAGACCTACATATATATATATATATATTTATATATATACACATATATATGGGTAAACATATGTATATAGTCTCGAAACGATGTATATAGAGGGGTACATAAGGCGTTCTAGTGTGAAAGGTGTTCAACCCTTTAAACACGAACGAAGTCGGTGTGTGATCGAGGTGAATTCGCGGCTGTCGTCCTTCGAGCTGTCCTACTTGACAACGGATTATTCTAGTCTTTCATCGAAAAGGACGAGTCAGCGACAAAAAAAAAAAGAGAATCCCTCAAATTCTCTTTCTGAAAAAGAAGAAGAAGAAGAAGAAGAAGAAGAAGAAGAAGAAGAAGAAGAAAAAGAAATCCTCTCCGAGATGAACCGGCCAACGATTCTCGACCAACGATTCCAAAAATCTTCCTTTATCTTCTTTTCTTTTTTTTTCTTTTTTTTTTTTTTATATACATATAAAAAAAAAAAAGGAGAACGAATCTAAGAAACGGGAAAAGTGTTACGTAGATCGTGAAGATGATTATCCTGCGATTTTCAATCTTCTTTTAAAGAAAAAAAGAAAATATATCAGCCATCTTTGAAGAAAGAAGGAAGAAAAGATTGAGTCTTGATAAATGAGGAAACGTACATACATAATATGTGCGAACATACATGAATAATTAAATTACGCAGGATATATTAAATGAACGATGGAATGGAGAAGATGACGAGCGCAGCGAACGACCACGTGCCAATATATTATGTTATTATATATTTCCCGCGTTTTTTTAAAGAACGTCTCGGTATATGAACGCACGTTGTTTTAATCAACGATATTTTTCATGATTTGCATTTTACAAACGCACTTTTAGTACTTTCTAAAGAGAGAAAAAAAAAAGAAAGAAAGAAAAAAAATTTAATTAAATTAATCCTTTGCACTTCATAAATAGAAACCGCTATGACGACATCCATGATATATCAAATAAAATTAATTTTTAATCTCATACTGACCAGATAGATCTTTTCTTTTATCTTTTATTCGATGAAAGATATTCTTTAATTTTCATCAACGGTAACGCAGAAAAATGAATTTATGAAATTGATAAGTTATATTTAAAAATTGGCTGGAATGCAAAGGATTAAATTAAATTAAATTAGAACAGCCGAACTTATCCTCGCAGATTGACCCATATAATATATTAATCGATATATTTACAATTTATCAAGATTTTATGCTTCCGCCAAGTATCAACGGAAATTATTAACAGACTGACGGACGTTAAGAAACGTTCGCGAAACGAAACACGGCCTAATTGAGAAAAAAAAAAATCTCGTAAGATTCTCTCCTCCACCGTTTTAGTCCCCCTCGCCACGGTTGAAGAAAAAAATTGAAAATGTATATATATATATATATATATATATATATATATATATACATATATTTAAAATAATAAAATTAAAATGTGCCGATAATCGTAAACCCGATAGATTCCTCGAAGAAAAAAATTGATAATATATGTATACATATATGTACTATATACGCAATGGGTGGCATATTGATAAATCCTGTAGCAAGCTGATAGAACGTATCCTATATGTGTATGTTCCTCCTTTGTGTATTTGTATATATGTATATGTATACATTTTTATGTATATACGTATGTATATATATACACATATATATATATATATATATATATATATATATATATATATATATCATTTCGTTCCAAAGTTCCAACTCATATAAATGCCCTCTTAAAGATTGAAACGTATGTGTACATATGTATATGTATATATGAAAGTACGTCTATATTTTTTTTCCTTTTTTTTTTTATTATTATTATTATTATTATTTCTTAAAAATAATATAATAACGTCGCAATATCGAGGGCAATCTTTTAAGCTCAATCTAATTAGTTTCTGGTACGAAATCGAAAGGATTATTTAAAAAAAAAGCACATAAAAATTAATTCGCGCTCGATGTAACATCGATAAATGCGCGTCATCTGTCTCGTACCCGAAGAGATCTAATTATTAATTAATTATATTACAGGAGTATGTACAAAATAATAATACTTTCGTACATACATTAATACGTACGTATGTAGAGTGAAATTTGTTTCATTCATAGGACAATCCATTAAAAGAACAAAAAATTAAGAAAGAAAAATTTTTAATCGAATGCGATAGATATCGTTTGCGAAAGCGAAAATTTACAAACAAACAAATATATATATATATATATATATATATATATATATATATATATATACTAAGTTAAGTCTTTAACTTTTTGTGAGTCGTATACACATCACACACATACACACCAAATATCAATATATTGGAAAAAATAAACATCACACAAATTACGTATCACAAAGTATTAACTTACAAAAATGAAAATAAACGGAGTCTCGGGTACGATTGCATCCAGCTTCTCCATTTTGCATTTTATTCGCGTATCGAAATAAAATAAAGAAACGAAAAGAAAAAGGAAAAAAAGAAAAAAAAAAAGAAAAAAAGAAAATATTATTCTCGACGAGCATATTCACATCACAAATATTTTATTACATAAACAATTCCATCGCGTATAGTGAGAAAATAAGTTAAAAGAAAAAAAAATAAAAAAAAAAAGAAAGAAAGAAAGAAAGGGAGAAAGAAAAAAAAGTAAACGAAAATACTTAATATTGTTCACGCGACGAACATATTCAGACATCACAAAAATATTTTATTACATAACTAACACACTCCAAAGTATATAATATATTTAATGCTAACGGAGAAGCGACGCGATTTAACTCGAGTCATTAACCGTCCGCACTCTTAATCGAATATTGTAATAATCGTGTTGTACTATATGTTCGTGTGTACATAGACATTCCGTGTTTAGATATCTTCTACAGAACAATTAACGAATGATCTAGCGCGGGATCGTGGATCGAATAATAATCTGCGATCGTTGCGGCCGGTGGAACATTTTATTATTATTATTATTATTATTAATATTATTATTATTATTATTATTTTTTCTCGTTTTTTAAAAATAATTTTCGTCCTCATAAAATAAAAAAAAAAAATCTCGACGCAGAAGATTAGAGCAAGAGACGAGAAGAAAGAAAGAAAAAGAAAAAGATAAAGAAAAAGAAGAACAAGAAGAACAAGAAGAAGAAAAAGAAGAAGAAAAAGAAACATAAAAACATATATGTATATATATCATATATATATATATATATATATGCGCGACACATATTTTTTGACGATTTGAGAAAGAAAAATAAGGCGAAATGAAAAGAAGAAAGAAAGAGAGAAAGAAAAAGAGAAAGAAGTAAATCATTGATTCGTTATTGCGGTGATTAGCCTAACATTAGAAGAAGAAAGCATAAAAAAAAAAAATTACATAAAAGATAAAAAATAAAAATAAGCGAGGAATACACAGGTAATTAATTGATTGCCCGTGACAAAAGAAGGAAAAAACATTTCATGATAATTACAAGAAGCTGTATTTTAATACCGTACAATTTTACACGCGCGAGAGAAAATGCATCACGGCGAAACGAACGTCGTCGATTTTTGATTCTCGAAAGGAAGATAGAAATGTTAGATAGGAATGGTTAAAAAAAAAAAAAAAAGAAAAGAAAAGAAAAGAAAAGAAAAGAAAAACGAAAAGAGGAAAAGAAAAAGAAACTGAACTCTGCTGTGTACCGTTGGATTATTATTAACACATTGTTGATCGGCTATTATATGCTGAAAGTAATATTTTTCACATCTGGCTATAATATTTTCATAATTGAATTGAAATAATTATTAAAATAATTATAATTCCAGAAAATTGTTATCAAAATTAATTAACAACACCAAACAATATGATAAGCAATACCACACAGTTGGCCAAAAGTTTCTAAATGTTTTTAAAAATTAATTACTCTTTATCGAAAGGTGCTTTGGGCAAACTTTTTCTTCGGATTACATAACTACACGCCTAGCTTGTAAAACTGTAAGCCTAACTGCAAGCCTATGAAATTCCGAAAAAGAGTAATCGATTTTTTTAAATTATTTGAAAACTTTTTTAACCGACTTAGAAATCCATCATTTTATAATAAAGACTTAAACAATTTTATATTTTAATAATTACATAAATTGTGTATGCACAATGCAAACGTTAACATATATTTGTGAGACAGGTCAATAATGTGTTAAAAGAAATGTTTCTGCGGCATTCGAAAGAGCGCGCCATTGTTGCGCGCGCATGAAACCGGGAATTTCATATATTTTTGGAAAATTTTAGTTCTTCGAAAGGAAAGTAAAAGTTGATTAAAAAAAAAAAAAAAGAAAAAAAGAAAAAAATAAAAAAAGAGAGAGAGGAGATACATAATATATGTACGCATGTATGTATGTACGTATGTATGTATGTATGTATGTATGTATGTATGTATGTATGTATGTATGTATGTATGTATGTATGTATGTATGTATGTATGTATGTATGTATGTATGTATATATGTATGTATGTATGTATGTATGTATGTATGTATGTATGTATGTATGTATGTATGTATGTATGTATGTATGTATGTATGTATGTATGTATGTATGCATGTATGTATGTATGTATGTATGTATGTATGTATGTATATATGTATGTATGTATGTATGTATGTATTTGCCCCGATCTTGCCGATTAGTCTGACAATCTGCGAAGAAGACAAAAAAAAATCTCGAATTAAAAGGAAGGATCCCAAATTATTTTTTTAATATTCAAATCTATTTTTAAGCGATATTCGCGTACGAGGTCGCATATTTTCGAACATGTTCAGCAATCTACGGGGCATATTTCCGAACTATGATACATTGCAATGATAAAATAAAAAAAGTGGCGTTTTGTTTTAAGGGTTTATTGGATTGATATTGCTATTTTTCGTAAGGGATCAAAGGATATATATATATATATATATATAAAACAAAGAAACGCAAAATTTTCACATACATATATCTTTATGACGATTGATTATTTTAGAACCAGCCTCTCGCCCAAAAAAAAAAAAAAAAGAAAAAGAAGAAAAGAAAAAAAAAATATATAAAGCATAAAAAAAGAAATTACAAAGTGCAAAAAAGAAAAAAGAATTGTACTTGATCATTCCGTTGATCTTCTTACTTTCTTTACTTTTGTAAATTCTAATAAACCCTTAAAACGATATCAAGAAGAAATAATATTGCGATTAAAAGAAATACAGCAGTGTGTGTGTGTGCGCGCGCGTGTGTGTGTGTGTAAGAGAGAGAGAAACTATCTTCCTCGAGAGAATCGTATTTTTTTATTCCGAAAAGTAAAGCCAATCTATATCGCCGTTTGAAAAAGAATATTACATGTGTATGTAGTAATAACGGCACGAGCGTGTATTTAATAAAATCGAGTAGTACTTTCGAAGCTCCTCGATATTTTTCTGAAGATCAAAGTCTCGCTTCTTGATGAGTAGAGGGAAGAAAAAAAAATTAATATGAAGTATATACATAAATATATAAGAGATATAATAATGAATGAACGTCATTTTGCGGGGGTATAATTTCTAAGTATAAGCAACACACTCGCTAAAGACATGAAAAAAAAAAAAAAAAAAAAAAAAATAAACAAAAAAAAAAGTAAAAATAATAAATCACATTGTGTAAATAAAATTCCATACCGTAGGATAACGTATAAGAGGGGGAGGCACAATACAGGTTGAGGATTAAGATTAAATAATTGAGAAATAAGAAACACGATTTTTTTCCGCGCTTTTCGATAATAATTACGACCTATGTAAAAAATGATTTCTACGTTAGTGAATGAATAATGTATAAATAATTCAACCCTCCTCCGATATTAAATAACAAAATCATATTTCCGAAAATAATTATTCAAAAAAATTCGACTAACG